AGCGGCATCAGCGTTTCGGCGACGAAACGCCCGCCGAAGCGGCCGAAGTGGCCGGCCTCGTCGGGGCCGCTCGTGTAGGTGTTCAGTTTCTCGGCGATCGACACGGGGTTCTTCTCGATGCGGTCAGGTCAGCGGGTGGCTGCGGGCGGCGCCCGCAGCGGAGCGGGGCGACCGGCAGGCGGCGACTCTGCCCCATCCGCGGCGCCGGGGCAACGCCGCCAAGCGGCCGGGCGGGGCGGAAACGGGCGGCTTCGCGGCGCCCGTCCGGCGCGGGTCAAAGCGCGCCGCAGAGCTCCAGGAAGGCACGGATCTTCTCCGGGCTCTTGGCGCCCGGCGCGGTCTCGACGCCGCTGGAGACGTCGACGGCCGGCGCGCCCGAGATGTGGACCGCCTCCTTGACGTTGTCCAGCGTCAGTCCGCCGGACAGCATCCAGGGCCGCTGCCAGCGCCGGCCGGCCAGCAGGCGCCAGTCGAAGGACACGGCGTTGCCGCCCGGCAGGGCGTTGGCCAGGGTGGCCGGCGGCTTGGCGTCGAACAGCAGGCGGTCGGCGACCGGCTCGTAGGCGGCGGCGGGCTCCAGGTCCTCGGCCCGGGCGACCTTGATCACCTTCATGACCGGCGTCTCCCAGCGGCTGCGGATCTCCGCCACGCGGCGCACGCTCTCGGCGCCGTGGAGCTGCAGCAGGCCGGGGCGCAGGCCGCGCACCACCCGCTCGACCAGGGCGTCGTCGGGATCGACCAGCAGGGCCACGGTCTCGACCTGGGGGCCGAGGCCGGCGGTCAGCGCCGCCGCCTGCTCGACGCTCACCGCGCGCGGGCTGCGGGGATAGAAGACCAGGCCGATCCAGCGCGCGCCGCCGGCCACGGCGGCGGCCAGGGCGTCGGGCGTGGAAAGACCGCAGATCTTGGCGTCGACGGACATGCGCATTCCCTGGGGCTGAGGAGAGGTGGCGGGCGCCGGGGCGGGGTCAGCGGAAGCGGGCGTCGTCCCCGGCGTCGTCCCCGGCAGCGTCGCCGGCGTCGTGGCCAGGGGCGGGCGCGGGGCCGGGCCCGGCCGCCGGCGGCGCCTGGCCGCTGTCCGGCACCCAGCCGGTGCAGGTGCGGAAGGCCAGCGAGAGCAGCGAGACGAAGACCGCGGCGAAGATGTAGTTCACCACCGCCATCAGGGCGATGAAGACCACGCCGGCCGGGCCGCCGATGCCTGGCGCGCCGCCGCCCGGCCCCATGCCGCCGGGACCGCCCATCATGCCGCCCAGGCCCAGCAGGCTGCCGCCGACCACCATCAGCAGGAAGACCACGGCGATCATCGGGAACAGCGCCAGCAGGTAGGCGCCGATCAGGCGCCAGGCGTTGCCCGCCGTGGTCCGCCAGGACTCGGCCAGGCCGAAGCGCTCGTCCACGGCGGCGGCCGGGAAGACGAAGCTGAAGCGCGCCGCCACGTAGCCGGCGAGCAGCACCAGCGGGATCACGATCAGGCCGAGGGCGGGCCCGCCGCCGCCGCCGGCGGCCAGGCCGCTGAGCGCCATGGCCGGCAGGCCGACCAGCAGCGTGACGATCAGCACCAGCAGCAGGCTCATCAGCCAGAAGCGGAGCTGGCGCCCGCCGAGCTGGGGCAGGACGCGCGGCGGCTCGCCGACCAGCAGCGCGCGGTGCCAGGCCACCGCGAAGATCGCATAGGCGAAGACGTCCACCAGGGTCGCCACGAAGCCCAGGGCGCCGCCCAGCCCCGCGCCCAGCAGCGACATGGTCAGCGACAGGGTGAAGGGCAGCAGCGCCGCCACCAGCACCTGCCCGACGTGCTGCAGGGTGAAGCGGTAGGCGTCGGCCACGGTCCGGCCCACCGGCAGCAGCGCGACCGGCCCCGGCGGCGGCTCGGAACTGGGCGGCGGGCTGGAGAAGCTGTCGGTCATGGCAGGGCGCGCTCCGGCGGGATCGGGCTGAGGCGGGACGGCGGCGGCCGCTCGGCGGCGCCGAGGCGGACAGCCCCGCAGATAGGCAGTCGCGACAGGAATATCAGGAGCCGGACGGCGCGCGCCAGCCTTCGCGCCGGCCCGGCGCGCTCACCCTTGCGGGGCGCCGGCCATTTCGGCGACCAGGCGCTCGACCGCCGCGGCCGGCTCGGGCGCGGCGGTGACGGGCCGGCCAACCACCAGCACGTCGGCGCCGGCCGCCAGCGCCTCGGCGGGGGTGGTGATGCGCTTCTGGTCGCCGGCGGCGGCCCAGGCCGGCCGGATGCCGGGGACCACCAGCTTGAAGTCGGGGCCGCAGGCCGCGCGCAGCAGCGCGATCTCGCGCGGGCTGCAGACCACGCCGTCGAGACCGCAGTCCTGGGCCAGCCGGGCCAGGCGCAGCACCTGGTCGGCGGCCGGGCCGCTCTGCCCGACCTCCGCAAGATCGGCCTCGTCCAGGCTGGTCAGCACCGTCACGGCGATCAGCCAGGGCCGGGCGTGGCCCAGATCCTCCGTCGCCTCGCGCACCGCCTCGGCCGCCGCGGTCATCATGGCGCGCCCGCCGCTGGCGTGGAGATTGACGATCGCCGGGCGCAGATGGGCGGCGGCCCGCAGCGCGCCGGCCACGGTGTTGGGGATGTCGTGGAACTTGAGGTCGAGGAACAGCGGCTCGCCGCCGGCCGCCGCGCGCACCCCGTCGGGCCCGTGGGCGGTGAAGAACTCCTTGCCCAGCTTGAGCCCGCCGACGCGGCCGCGCAGCGCCTCGGCCAGCCGCTGCGCGCGGCCCAGATCCTGGGTGTCGAGGGCGACGAAGAGCTTCTCGCGCGCCGCCTCGGCGCTGGCTGCGGCTATGTCGGTCATGCGCGCTGCAATAGCAGAGCGGCGCGAGACCGTCATGCCCTATCTGACATGCCCTCTATCGGTCCCCCGACCGCTCAGAACTGCTCCAACAGCCGTTCGATGTAATCCAGCTCCAGCGGCGGGCGGAAGCCCTCGCCGGAGCGGCGGCGCAGCTCCCGCAGGATCTCGCGCGCGCGCTGCAGCTCCATCTCCTCGGGGATGGCGACGTCGCCGCGGTCCATCTGGCCGCCCTCGCCCTGGGCGCGGCCGAGGGGATCGCGGCTCTGGCCCGGGTCGAGCCCGGTCTGGGTACCGTCCTGGCCGCGCCCGCCGCCGAGCTGCTGGGCGAGCTGCTCGAGCATTGCCTCCATGCCCTGCTGGAGCTGGTCGACCGCCTCGCCCTGGGGGCCGACGGCCTCGCCCGGGGTGCCGTTCTGCAGCGCTTCGCGGGCGCGGCGCATGGCCTGCTCGGCCTGGCCGAGGGGCTGCGGGATGTCGCCCATCATCTCGCCGAACTGGCGCATCACCTCGCCCAGCGCGCGGCGCAGCGCCTCCTGGGCGCGGGCGTCGCCGGCGTTGGAGCTGCGATCGTTCTCGCGCCCCTCGCCGTCGCCGCGCTCGCCCATCTGCTCGCGCTGCTGGCCCTGGCCCTGCTGCGAGCGCTGGAAGCTGCGGTCGAGCAGCTCCTGCTGGCGGCGCGACAGGCTCTCCAGGTCCTCCATCATCCGGCGGGCCTGCATGGCCTCAGGGTTCATGCGCTGCTGGAAGGGGTTGGCCTGCAGGTTCTCCAGCATGCGCTGCAGGTTCTCCAGCATCTGCTGCGCCTGCTCGCGGGCGCCCGACTGGGCCAGCTCGCGCATCTGCTCCAGCATGCGCTGGAAGTCCTCGCGCCGCAGGACCTGCGCGTCGGGCGGCAGCTCCTGGGGCTCCATCTCGCCCTCGGCGTTGCGCAGCTCCTCCATCGCCTGCTCGGCCAGCGCCTCGAGGAAGCGGTCGAGCGCCTCCTGCAGCTCGCGGGTCAGCCGCTCGATCTCCGCGTCCGGCGCCCCCTCGGCCAGGGCCTGCTGCAGCTCGCGCTGCAGCTCGCGCAGCTCGCGCTCGGCCAGGGAGAGGTCGCCGTCCTCGATCCGCAGCGCGGTGTCCCAGAGGAGCTGCTGCACCGAGGCGACGGCGCCCGCGCCGCGGTCGTACATCAGCCGCCGCGCCGCCATGTGGATCGCCAGGCCGACCACCGGGTCGTAGAAGTAGTGCGCCGGCTGCTCGGCGATCTCGCCCAGCCGGCCGATCACCGGCGCCTTGGCCTCGGGGTCCAGGGTGAGCTGGCGGCGCAGCTCGACCAGTTCGCGCGCCACCGGATGGGTGAAGGTGCGCTGCGGCAGCACCATGCGGAAGGCCTCGGTGGTGCCGGTCTGGTCGATGGCGTCGGTGGCGACCAGAGTGACGGTCACCGCGATGCCGGCCCAGGGATGCGGCGAGAGGTCGTGGTAGCTGGCGCCCTCGGCGCTCTCCGCCGCGGCCGCCGGCAGGGTCAGCTCCAGCTCCAGCGGCGGGATCTGGGGATCGTCGACCCGCTGGATCACCGCCTTGAGGCCGCGCAGGCCGTAGTCGTCGCCGGCCTGGTACTCCAGCGTCAGGGCGCCGCGCTGGCTGGCGCCCGGCGGCGCGGTGTAGGCCACCGTCGGCGGCGCGTCGGGCACCACCTCGATCGGCCACTGCACCAGCGGCAGCTCGTTCTGTTCCAGCGTCAGGGTGCGGCCCGCGCGCAGGGTCAGCTCCGCCTTCCAGGCGGCGGCGCCGACCGGCTCGAAGGCATGTCCCTCGCCGTCGATGCGCAGCACCGGCTCGCCGTCGCCGCCCTGCACCTGCGCCAGCAGGGTGGAGCCGACCGGCAGGCGCACGCCGCTGACCGGGTCGCGCTGGGGGTCGAGCAGGCGCGGCGGCGCGCCGGTGTAGGCCGGCGGATTGATCCAGACGTCGTAGGTGGCCGGCGGCGGCGGCTCGGCGGCGGCGAAGCGCGGCGTCACCGCGTCGCCCAGACGCGCCGCCCAGTCGCCCCCGGCGCTGGCCAGCCCGATCACCAGCAGCAGCCCCAGCGCGGCGCGCAGGCCGTAGCCGTCGACCC